AGGAATAAAAGACCAAAACACCTTAAGAGTGAGAAAGGCACATACTTTTAACAGGACTGCCCAGGCTACAGTTCTTATCCGTTTGTCCAGGTGGCAGTGTTAATCCCTGTGGCTCTCCATATGTTGCTGGATTCTAACTTCCATCATCCCTGACCACTGTCTGTGCTGGCTGAGGCGGATAGGAATTCAACAATACCCAGAGGGCCAGGAGAATGAGTGGCTTTATGACATACATCTCCTATTTAAGATAATCTCTGCTAAAATGTAGGTGTCTATGATGAAACTTACATAGATGGCACTGGACCTCTGTTTAACTACACTCTATTAATGGTGCTTTGTCACCTCCATGTTGGTGGGGCTGCCAGAACGCAGGCATGCTGATTCACTTATGGTGGGAATGTCCAAAGATACATGCAGCTCTTTGGGGCCAATGTGTTTACTGACCTCTTTCATAAAAATGTTGACATGGAGTTAGGGGTGTTTTGCTGTCCTTATTTAGAGGCTGTGATAAAATATCCCATATAAGAATTTGTTAAACCATATTTTAGTGGCAGCACAAATGGAAATATTATTAAATTGGAAGAATGCTGGTGAGTGCAATAAATGCAATATGGTTTTTAGCCTTGACAGATAATCTCACACATCATAACAGAGTGATGTATGGAGAAACTCAAAAGGATACCTTTGATACTGATTGGCTTATATTTATTTCATTTATTAACTCTCACCCATAGGAGTCTTGACCCGCTGTAACTCATAATGTTTATTAGTTAGGTTACCAGACTTGAAAGGATGATGTCATTTTGGGCTTGTATCTGTAGTAATGAAACTATTTTGTACCTGTTGACCAATGTCATTTGTTTTGTTTGCATTGATTCTTCTCTGTTTAGATTAAAATTATATATATATATATATATATATTTTTTGCTTTCGTAGATTTTCACGGGTACAGGAGTGCAGGTTTTGGTGTCCTCGGGTGTCTTCCCGTGTAAAAGTTGGGGTGTCTAGGTGACGTTTCGACGAGGTCTCACTCGTCATCTTCAGGCTGGTGCTTTCGGCTTCTTGTTACTGGAACAGAGCAGGATCTCAGTGTTTGAGTTCCTATAAATACTGTTGAGGGGGTGTGGTGTATATATATATATAGCCTCCACATATATATATGTTTTAATTCCCGGGTTGTTGCACTCATTAAATGCTGGGCAGGATGGCCTTGTCTGCGGTTGCGCCGGGGTTGGTTCTAAGACGTTCCTTCCTGTATCTTGCAGGGTGGCGATGACATTGGAGGCTATACACCACACCCCCTCAACAGTATTTATAGGAACTCAAACACTGAGATCCTGCTCTGTTCCAGTAACAAGAAGCCGAAAGCACCAGCCTGAAGATGACGAGTGAGACCTCGTCGAAACGTCGCCTAGACACCCCAACTTTTACACGGGAAGACACCCGAGGACACCAAAACCTGCATTCCTGTACCCGTGAAAATCTACGAAAACATATATATATATATATATATATATATATATATATATATATATATGGAGGGCCATAGACTCCCCACCTCTAATATAAACTATGTAACCCCTGAAGGATAATCTCAGAGGAAAATAACGTAAGCAATTCTGCATGCTGTGAAAAATGTCTGTACAGTGGTACCTCGGATTACATACGCTTCAGGTTACATACGCTTCAGGTTACAGACTCTGCTAACCCAGAAATAGTGCTTCAGGTTAAGAACTTTGCTTCAGGATGAGAACAGAAATCGTGCTCTGTCGGCACGGCAGCAGCAGGAGGCCCCATTAGCTAAAGTGGTGCTTCAGGTTAAGAACAGTTTCAGGTTAAGTATGGACCTCCGGAACGAATTAAGTACTTAACCCGAGGTAACACTGTATCAGAAGCCAAGGGCAGGCATGGACACTCACAAAAAGGGCCTCATTACAAGCATGGAAAAATCAAATTTGATTCCACTCAAAAGTCATATCCACATTTAGAACTATGTCAGTTTTTGACTCACTCCCAGGAGCCTAATTAGCAAAGAAGAGGTGAGCAGAGGAGTTGTTTGGGGTATGTGTATGACAACTATGAAAAATATGCTCCACTGTTTCCTTAATTGGAAGAAAACTGGAATGTACTTGCAAATAGTATAAACAAGGTGACTCTGAAAACAGCCAGTTTTGCTTTGACTGCTGTAACTGCCCCCAACTTACTATGATTCCCATGTTTCAGACTGCATGCAAACTGGGTTACTGATACAATCCAGTATATAATTGATTGGCTATGAAAATTGCTTGTGCACCTTTCTCCTTCAAAAATAACTTTGTTACGATTAGTAGGTAAAGCAAATAAAAGCAAAACGTAAATAAGGAAGCCAAACAAAGCTATTCATGTTCCAGACACCCTCACCTCATGCTCCAGGCAAGAGGTGGCCTGCATGAGTGGAGACTCTTCTCCAAGCTTACCTGGCCATGTGCTGGAGGAGGCCGCCATGCAGCACAGCCAAGGACCCCTGGCTCAGGTGCAACTTCACCTCCTGCCTGCAGCAAATGCACCAGAAGTGCCGCTCGTGCTCCCCAGGGTCAAAAGGCACCACCGAGGCCCTCTTGAGCATCTTCCGCGCTGCGGCCACCTGAGCGAAATGTAAAAGAGAAGCAAAAGTGAGAAGAAGAAAAAAAATACTTGCGTGAAGAATAGCTCAGTTGGAAGAGCGTAAGCCTCTGAATCTCAGGATCGGGGGTTCAAGCCCCATGTTGGGCAAAAACATTACAGTGGTACCTCGGGTTACATATGCTTCAGGTTACATACGCTTCAGGTTACAGACTCCGCTAACTCAGAAATAGTGCTTCAGGTTAAGAACTTTCCTTCAGGATGAGAACGCGGCGCAGTGGCAGCAGGAGGCCGCATTAGCTAAAGTGGTGCTTCAGGTTAAGAACAGTTTCAGGTTAAGTACGGACCTCCGGAACGAATTAAGTACTTAACCTGAGGTACCACTGTACTGCATTGCAGGGGGTTGGACATGGGCGTAGCCAGGATTTTTGTTAAGGGGGGGGAGCCAAAATTGTTTAACTTTTGTTAGGAGATCAAGCCAAAGTTGAGGCATCTGCTGGGGGGGGGAGAACCTCAATTAATTGAGTACTTTCAATCAGTTTTGTGCCCCCCCCCAGATGACCCTGGTGTTCCCTTCCAGCTCTATGACCCTCTGAAATCTCTCTGGAGAGCAGCTAACGCCCTTTCGGACCGGCTGCAGAACCAGCCCCCGCACCCGCCCACTCCTTGCTCCTCCTTGGACAGGCCACCCGCAGCCGGGCAGGCAGAAATGCGAAGGGTGCGGCCTTGCACGAAACTCGGCCCGGCTGCCTTCGGACACTTCACCCGACCCTCCGCGCCCACCCCTGGGGCTCCGGGGCCGTACTTTCTCCTTCAGGCGGGCGAGCGCCCCGCGAAGCCGCCTCTGGTGCCCCGCGCTGTAGAGGTGGCTGCGCCGACCGGCGAAAGCGCTGCACCGGCAGAGCGGGCAGCGGAACAGCGTCATCGCCATGGGAACGGCGCCAGGCCCCTCGCCCCGATCGCCATCAACCCCGCCGCCGCCCCCGTCCTCCATTTTGCAAATCCCGGAAGCGGCCGGCCAAGGAGGCGGGTCTCGCGGCGAGGGCGACATCTGGCGGCCGGACCCAGAACTGCAGGATTACGTCATTCCCGCCCACGCGCGGCAATCTGCTGCCGCGCGCTCATCCCCAGCCGGCGAGGAAAAGTCGTCGCGCAGCACGTTGCGGAATCCAGAAGCCCCGGGAAGGTGCGCGCTGCTCCTTGCTTAGGCGTGAGCAGCATCCAGCACGTGTTCAGATGCCCTCTCGTTTCTGCTCTTCGCCGTGAACCCCGCGCGAGCTGAAGGAGGCAAAGTCACGAGCAGGGTTCCTGCATTGCAGCGGGTTGGACTAGATGGCGCCTGGGTCCCTTCCAACTCTATACAATTCAATGATTCCGTCACAGCTGCGAGATGCACATCCCCCTGCCATCTCGTTGCTTAGCAAGCCCCCTTCTTGGCCTGAATGAAGGCAATAGCCCTGGCTTGTCCTGAGAACAGGAGTTTTATTTCTTAAATCTGTTTTGAAGTCATTTATTCCGGTTTAATCTGGTGGAATAGTGATTGTGCCAACTTTTATTTTTATTTAAAAAAATTCTTTGCAGTACTTGCAGATAGTTCACAATAATTAGAGCAGTCTTGCAGGAGCTGTAGCTGTGCCAGAGATATATCAGGTGTGCAGAATAACATATCACTTTACACATTTTTCTGAAGAGTAGAGGAAGTTGGAGTACTGCATGGGGTCCATGAAGTGGCCTAGTGGGCTTGGCCTGACATATTAGGATGATTGAAGATGTATGTAGCAACCATGCAATAAAACAGGGTGAAGGGTGCCAGGGAAACAAAGGAGCCTTTCAGTAACAGGTAGAAATACGCAGCTTTACCCATTGAGAAGCAAACAGAGAACCTGAATACAAGCTTCTCAGAGGCCGGGTTGTTCTAGGCTTGGCCACCACTCAGGCCCACATTTCTGACATGCTTATTCACTGCAGCTAGTCAGATCTGTTTATGGGTTTTGTTTTGCATACTTGGTCGCCCTGCGCCCTGGATAAATCAGTGCAGATGCCCCTGCCTGAAGCCAGGCATTGAATTCCTCTCACCACTATTTTTCTGTCACCGCAGTGAGCTACCTGCAATTCTAAACAGTCAAAGAAGAGGGAGTTTTTCTGCTGCTCATCCATCGGGCTTCTCCCCCACCCCAAGGCAGGTGACTCGTTGAGGTGGGAGGGCAAGCAGAAACTATTTTCCACTTCAAGCGTTTTCCATAAAGACAGGGGTGCCAACTTGAAAAAAATATTGCAGGGCAGGTAAGTCCCACCCCGCATAATCGATTACATGATACAGTACCCACGCTCCATTTGAATGGCAATGCCCATCAACTGGGGGGGGGAGCGCAGATATTTTAGGTGGGGGGCGCCAAAGGGATCTCGGCCCCTAGAAGTTGGCTCCTATGCACAGAGGCAAAGAGAACGCACACAATGACCATTTTGTGTACACTTTTAACTGTTTATTACCATACTTTTTCTCCACATTTTCAATAACGAATGAATGACTAAATAAATAAATAAAGTTCAAGCACTCAGGTTTATGCATTCTCTTCCACAGTGCCTTTCAACAGTCTACTCCCATCACAAAACACGACACCTCCCCTGCTGCAATCAAAAAACACTGTACAGGTGTTTTTTGGTTTTGGGTTTTTTTGAGGGGGTCTACTCTCATAGGAAGCTGCCTCTCCATCTGCTGATTTGGGGTTTCTTCCACCCCAAATAGTATCTTCAGAAGGAAGGAAGCCACAAGCCGGGCTCTCTTAGAACAGCTGTTCCTTTCAACAAGTAGCAGAGTCTTTTAAAAGTACTGGAGAATGCGCACTCTGCTGCAGTGGGGTTTCCTCCATGCCGTCCAGGTTTAGTGAGGATCCGAGGCCAAAGAGAGACCTCATCAGTTCTGGGGAAAGAGGGAAGCAAATACAAGCTGTCAGGGCTGGTGGCCCCATTGGTTTATCAAGGTATCTTCCATGCTCAGGAAGCCAACAGAAAAGGTAAAGGTAAAGGGACCCCTGACTATTAGGTCCAGTCGTGACTGACTCTGGGGTTGCGGCGCTCATCTCACTTTATTGGCTGAGGGAGCGTACAGCTTCATGTGGCCAGGTCATGACTAAGGTCATGTGGCCAGCATGACTAAGCCGCTTCTGGTGAACCAGAGCAGTGCATGGAAACGCCATTTACCTTCCCGCTGGAGCGGTACCTGTTTATCTACTTGCACTCTGACGTGCTTTCGAACTGCTAGGTTGGCAGGAGCAGGGACCGAGCAACAGGAGCTCACTCCGTCACGGGGATTAGAACCGCCAACCTTCTGATCAGCAAGTCCTAGGCTCTGTGGTTTAACCCACAGCACCACCCGCGTCCCAACAGAAAAGTTAGGTTTGCCAAAAGTGGAGCTGCTTGCCAGATCGCTCCTATATTTCAAACTGTCCAGGGTCCCATCTCCTTCCCTACTGGCCATGCTCACCCTCCTCTCCAGTTGCACACCATCTTCCTCCTACCTGGCTTGTCCATGCTCTGACGCATCAGCCTCACCAAGTCCTCTGGCAGCTCTTGCGTTTCCGCCCGAAACTTGCGCCATCCCTCTGTGGTCAACTTCCACATGCGGGACTTGCGGTTCCCATCAAGGCACACGAAGGCGGCCGTCTTCTCAAAGCTGCTGCTGAAGCACAGGTTGTGCCGGATGGTGTTCTTCCAGCCTTCTGGAGCTGTGCGGAAGAAGGGGAAGTGCTTCCTGGCAGGGAGGGAGGTCAGCAGAGTGGCTAGAGCAGGGCAGGCAGCCCCACGGAGGCAGCAGATGAACCACCAATAGCATTGCAGCGTAATGTTCTTTTCCGTCCCCTGGGATGCTTGTACCCCATGGACTATGTAGGGAGGGCCCCGGGGGAAAGAGGAAATTACAGACTGCTTTCTAGCACCCAGTTATGCTGCCCACAATCATAGGAGACTCCGGCCAGAACATGCAGCTTTCAACACCAACTTGGGAGCAGCATCAAAGCCAAGCCAAGCCAGGAGAGGAAGACAAAGTCAGAAGTCCCCATTTTAGTCACTGAGCTTCATCTTCACCCATCATCTGCCTCTCCTGGCCCCCACCTGCCCACCCCACTGCTCAGGGGCCGGTACCTTATGAACTGGTAGATCTCCTGCACTGTCAGACTGCTGCTCACACTGCTGCTCAGGGCAAGGCTGATGAGGATGCAGTAATTAAGAGGTGGGCGGGGCCAGTCTCCCAGCGTCCTCTTCAGCTTCTTAGCATGGGATCGGAGGACCTTTGCTTTCCAGGGTGCCCAGGTAGACCGACGGGTGCCCCTCGTCTTCTGAGAAAGCTGGGAGGTATCCTCTTCCTTGGGGACCTGGAACCGTACGATTGCAGGAAGGAAACAGGGACACCTGGTAATATTTCTCCTTTATTTGCAGGCCAGCAGATTGAGCCACGGCCAGAGGAAAAATGGCAGCACCAGACAGGTGGCTTGCCCCACAGCTGCCCCACACGTTGACAGTCACCAGCCCCATATGGGTAGCCTGGCTCTCCAAACAGCTGTTTTTGGACTACAATTCCCATAATCCCTGACCACTGGTACTGCTAGCTAGGAATGATGGGAGTTGTAGTCCAAAAGCAATTGGAGACCCAAGTTTGGGAAACCCTGCAGAAAGGAGGACTGGCCCTGACCACCCATTTCCACCTTCCTAGGAAACTTTTAATATTTTGCATTGTTTCCTAGCAATGTTTTGATACCAAACTGAAAGGTGGGATTCAAACATTTTAATTAAATAATTAAAAACAGAACTGACACATAGGCTTCTGGCTCCCATTGAAATCAGGAGGGCCAGTCCAGATTAGAGCCATGCTATAGCTCATGTCAAAACTGTCCAGAAGACACGTAAACTTCTTGCCATTGAATTGCTGGCCTGGTCTCCACAGGCCTCTCTAGCGGCAGGACAAGATGAAGGCTGTGGCGCCACCACTGAGGCATGCCCAGGGATGCTGCAGGCGAGGTTTGGGTTCACCCACATCCATGGGTGGGGCTGTGGGTCAGACTCTGCAGGGAGAGAAAACAAAGGGCTTCAGCTGGGTTCCTGCTGCCTCCTGCAATCCCACACTCCACGACAAGCCTAGGAACATCAGAAGTAGCCTTATAGCCAAGTCAGACCACTGATCCATCTAGCTCAGCATTGCCAACAACACCGACCGGCAGCAATAACTCCCCAGGATTTAAGGCAAGAGTCTCCTTTCCCAGCCTTGTCTTGGAGAGGCCAAAGGGGACAGGGCCTGGGGTTTTCTGCCCGCAAATCAAGTGCTCCACTACGGAGCTGCTCCCATGTCCCTTGCCCTTTAAGCCTCTCCCTGCCACTCACAGCTGGTGGGCATCCCAATCCGCTAGTTGCTGGAGAAGGCAATTCCCGGTGGAAGGTCGGTTCCGCCCCTCCTCGACAGAAGCTCGGCGGCCTCTTGCTTACCCGAGGCGGGAGGGTGCAGGACCCGTGCCAGGCTGCGCGTCGTCAGCTGTTCCGAGGGCCACATCAGGCCACGAGCGCTCGTGTTGTCCGCGGGAGCTAGGGGGCAGGAGGGCACACTCACTCCTGCCCTACATCCCCGGAGCCCTGCTGCGGAGGCCCCCCAAACACTTTCAGGGGGGCCGAGGACAAACCCCAGGAAACTCCCGCCGGTGTGGCAGGTGGGCGCAAGCCTGACCCGCGGCGCACTTTCTCCTTGGGCAGCGAGGCGCCTCCGGGTTGGCACCTATTCCTTTCCCGCGGTGTTGGGGGGGAGGCGCTCTGCACATGCCCAAAGAGGCTTCCTCCCCCCTTCCTCTCCGCCCCCAGATCACGCAAGCCTCCTTCTACCCCCAGAATGCCTTCGCCCCCCGGGAAGGGAAAGGGGCACAGTGGCCAGGAAGAACTTCAGGCCGCCCTCACCTTGGGGCAGCTCGTCGCAGATAGTGCTCAAGCCCATCTCCTGCCTCATGTTCCAGTCCCAAAGGCCACTGCGCAGATGGAGGCTGGCCCAAAAAGCCGGCCTTTGCAAGCGCAACGCCATAAGAACCACACTGCAAACTCCGCGGGGCAGAAACCTTTTCGGGGCGGGGCCAGGAGGGGCGCGCTTCGCACCTTTAGAACCCGGGCCGGGAAGGAGGGAGGGCGGAGCCGCTGATCTACCCCGACACGTGACTGCGGGCTCTGCAACCGAGGCTCGCAGGGAGACCCCCAAGTCCGTCCCATGGGCTTCATGGCCTCTGCGCTCCTAACCCAGCAGTCGCAGGTCTGGCTGAGCCTCCAAGCCGCTAGCAGTGGCTGCCCAGAGGCCTCGGGGCACCTGCCTTTCCCCCACTGCCGCGATAGGAAACCCCCATTTGCAAAAACAGTAGGCTGCAACTCCCATTTACACTTGTCTATAAGCACCTTGACTCGACTCCATCGCCTGGCGTCACAAAATCAGGGCTCTCATGCCTGGAGTCTCCAGGTTTTTCCATGGAGACCAAGCACCCCAAATCCAGAGCCTCATGACGCCAGTCAGAAGGGAGGGACTGTGCACGACTAGGGATCCGGGTAATATATTCTCTGGGAATATATATGAGCTTGTGGGTGCTTTACTGGAGTGCTGTCTCTCAGTAGGTCCTGTTAAGTTCTGCAAGGACTGGAATCCTAGAGGAGGAGACTCACTTTTGCTAAGTAGCGGTTGGGAGAACCACAAACATTTCACAACAAGTGCATCGCAGTTAACTGCAACCATAAGTGAACTGGTTAAGGGTGTGGAGAGGGGAGGTGATCAAGCTACTATGGGCATTGATACGGCAATAGGTGGGGTGCAGCTCCCCAATTCTGAAAGCAGGTGGTGCAGAAGCAGGTCACCTACTGGTCATGGGGCTAAAAGACGCTAATTGCTTCATTGACAAACCTGTGAAAGAAAACAGCCCTCACTTTCCTTCCTAACTCCTCCCCCCTCATGGAGATGCACATTTGGGATAGGTTTTCTCCCTTGAAAAGCACTGCAGCCTCTCCTTGTTAATAATGATTTGTTGCACATGTGATTTGCAAAGTGCTTCATGATCTTGTGCTGTGTTTGAGTCCACCTTTCTCTCTCTTACACATACAGTTCTGGATGCCCATGGACATCCTATCGATTTGAGAAGCATGGGGAGGGTGTGGCTTGTCACAAACTTCCCAAGTGAGCCTGTGGCAGGGGCTGCCTTTCCAAGCCAGCATCCCATCTATTGAAACAGTCAATGATTTCCCTTTCCTTCCTGATGTCTGGGAGGAGTTTCAGTTCTCTGCACTCTATTCCAAGTGTGCGCAAACAACAACCCCTCCAGCCTCTTCCTCCAAGAGGAAACTCTTCCAAACTCAGGGATGCTTAGATGGCTTTGGTGCTAGTTACAGGAAAAGCTCCAGGAAATTAAGGGAGCTCCCAGAGGGTGGAAGCAGCTGATATCTCAGCTGATATGGAGACAGAATGGCAGGTGAAGGTGGATGCAGAGAGGTTGGGCAACCTGGGCTGGTGAAGACTGCCTTGGAAGTAGGTCCCTCTCAACAGGTGAGCAGAATTGGCACCCCTTCTAGCCCTACCCTGATCTAAGCGTTCAACTCTGCTGCTCTTCCATCTCTGCTGCTTCTCACTAGCCCTTGTCCTGCAAAAAAGGACTAGAACCCAGAGCATCAAAGCCCCTTGTCCTCCCCCACCCCTCAATTCCAGGCCTTAAAGGCAAAACCCCTGCACTGTTGGTCCAGCTAAAAGAAATGAAAGGAACGGGCCTGCTCATTTGGTGTCCAAACCAGCACAGTCAAAGGAATGGGTAGCAAGAGGAAGCCGACTGCTTGGTGTGAGCGAATGCCTCTGCTTCCCCAGTGCAGCTTCCCCAGGTGGGGGTGGGGGGTGGGGAGGCTGACCAAACTGGAGCAGCCTTGGTGAAACTTGTCTGGCCAGCCCCCTCCTCAAGGTGCCCCAGCACACATCTTGGCCATTCTAGGGATGAAGGTGTACCTGTTCCAGGTGGCAAGAGCCAGAGCATTCTCTTCCCCCACTCCATAGGCTGCCTAAGATTTCCAGTCTTTCACACTAGCCCCTGCCCCACTCCAGAAAGTATGAACATGTGCAGGGCAGAAGTACTTAGCTCCTAGTGCAGGTGATTATAACTTGTACTTGACCAGCCCTCTAAGGCAGGTCAAAATTAAGACCATTTTAAAGATGGTGAGCTGGAATGAAGCGCCAACACTAGAATTGTGGGTGTAGCACCTGTGGGAAAGTCTGGGCATCCTCAGGACTGTGGGAGGTCCAGAGGGGAAGTTGTTTTACTTACTTACTTACTTACTTTTACTTACTTTTTTTTATGAAGCTCAACTTTTTCTGTCTCTGTCAGAGAGCCAACAAAATCTCCCTTCCCTCTTCTCAAAAGCTGCTATTTGCATTTCAAATAAAGTTCCTATGGACACCAACAGAGTCTTAAAATGAAATGCAAAGAGCAGTCAGATGGAGCGATATTTTGCCTGCACTGGCAAGGAAATAAAGGGTTAAACATCCCTCCCCAGTCCTAAGGCTGCTGTTTACATAAGGAATACGGTAATATGTGGCACTAAAGAGCCCATGGTCATTTAGGATCTTATGTCATACATAGATGAATCTGTGGCAGGGATAGAGTTTGAACCCAGGGCTCCCAGACCCATGTGCAATTCTGAAGGAAGAGGTGACTCTCCTGGTGAGTTGGTCTGACTCTGACCTCTGCTCTCTCCCATAGTGCTCTCTGGCAGGAACCTAATTCTGGTGCAGCAGGTGTGAGCATTTGGCTGTGTGGATCAGGTGCCCAGATACCTGGAGCTGATTACTGTATTACCAGCAGAGGAAGCACGGTGAGTGTGGTGTATTGCACCCCAGATATGTTAGCTTCAGGGCAGCCTCAACAGAAGGTTCACCTCCCCCCCCCCCTTTATGTTAGAATTCAACAGATACAGTACCACCTATCTGGGCTTGTGAAGGATTTTATTCCCCCCCCCTTTAGCTAGCACATGGTTTGGCTTGCTTTCTCGAGGTACCTGAATCGTCCTCCTATGAAGACATCTCTTGGGCCATGCCTTGTCATCTTCTACTCAATACTGTCCTTTATAACATGCAGCAGGCTTTTAAAAATTATCAACATGAGGCGTTCATCTTCTTAGGAGGAGCCGAGATAGGTGAGCACAGGACAAAAGGAAGCAAGAATTACTGATACAGAAAAGAGGTATATTCACAGTCTTAGGTATTTGCTAAGTCCAGTATGTGGATGGATGCTGACTGTTTTGTGGGGGGTTTTCTCCTGGAGATTCCACTCCCCACCTCCCGCTGTCCAGATTAGTATGTGCTTCCCTTTGTTCTATGAAGCCGGAATGCAAATAGATTTCTCTCTCTCTCTTTCTTTTTCTTTCTCCATGTGTAAGTAAGGGATCAGGTTGCACTGGGGATTTTCTGCGCTGGCTGGAAGGAAACTAGCCTGTACCAGTTAGAATCAACATTCCATCTTTGCCACACAGTTGTCTGGAGTGATTCACCGTAGTGTCTGCATTCAGGGGGAAATGCAGAGCAGCAAATGCAGCCATCTTTGCCCATCTTCAGATTCCAACGCAGCCCAGACAGCTCCAGTCAACATACAGCCCCCTCTCATAAATGATGTTCGGCAGACCAGTCCACTGTGCCCCCTCCCTGGATACCGTGGCCTCAGAACTTGTGAAATGACATGCCAAATCCGAAACAAAGGAGTGTATGAGAGAGCACTAATTTAGGTGCGTCAGCAGGAGCAAGAACTAGCGTGAAGAGCTATGAGTACACCAATGACCCCCACCCTTGGAGGGAAAGACCATGGTTCAGCAGGAGAACACCTGCTTTTGAAGGTCTCAGGTTCAGTCCTCTGCATCTCCCAATAGGGCTGGGAATGTCCCCTGTCTGAAATGTGGAGGAGATGCTATGAGCTGGTGCAGAGAAACCATCCTGAGCTAGATGGTCCAAAAGTTCAGTGTAAGGCAGTTTCCTATGATCCTATGGACAAATAAAAAAATCCTTCCAAAGTGGAACTGCAGAGACATTAAGGCCTCTGGAACAGGGGCTGGAGGAACGACCTGAAGCCTGGGCTCTTTCCAAGGCCAGTTGGAACTACTCTTCATCCTGAAGACTCGCAGTGATGGCACTAGCAGACAGGCCAGCTGCATCAGAAGCCTCTAAGCACCATGACTGAAGGTAGAAAGCAGATGGCTGTGGGCCCAGGGCCTTGCAAGTGTCCTCCCAGGGAGGGAGGGAGATGCACTGGTGAACCCTTCCTAAGAGGCCTGTGGCTGCCTCTGGCAGTTGCTTCAGCAGGGCCTGGCTGCTGGCAAGTCAGGGGCTTCTCCTTGGCTCGTGAGCCTTAGGTCCAACCCTGCCTCTCCATGGCTGTTAACAGCCTCAGACTCTGGAGATAAACAGCTGAGGGCGGCCATCACCTTCATGAATCACTTGTGAGTGATCTTTCAGGACTCTGGACTAGTCAGACCCTGGGTCTGATCTTGCAAAGCAATCTGTATGTTCCCTCCAAGACCAAGGAACCAAGCCCTGGAGGGAATGTGTATGGATAGGAGGAATTTTGTAGCCACCTACATGCAAGGACGGGATGCGGGTGGCGCTGTGGGTTAAACCACAGAGCCTAGGACTTGCCGATCAGAAGGTTGGCGGTTCGAATCCCCAAGACGGGGTGACCTCCCGTTGCTCGGTCCCTGCTCCTGCCAACCTAGCAGTACGAAAGCACGTCAAAGTGCAAGTAGATAAATACGTACCACTCCGGCGGGAAGGTAAATGGTGTTTCCGTGCGCTGCTCTGGATCGCCAGAAGCAGCTTAGTCATGCTGGCCACATGACCCGGAAGCTGTCTGCGGACAAACGCCAGCTCCCTCAGCCTATAGAGCAAGATGAGCGTGCAACCCCAAAGTCGGTCACGACTGGACCTAATGGTCAGGGGTCCCTTTACCTTTA